ATAAGTAAGCATAGCCAGTACTCGCCTACTAAGAATTTAAATGAATTAAAATAAGAGACCTTGAAATTTAAAGTGATTTTGGAACTTTTTTTTTTTTTTTTAAAAATAATTTTAGTGTCAAATACATCCTTCAGGAAAAAACGTTGCTGAACTGGCACATAAGAAAAAAGATGAAGATACAAAATTTTCTCTCCATTTTAGCCCTCATACACTACTGCACAGTAGGCAAGGATATATTTTGTAAAATGTTTTTAGTGTATTCTGGATTTTTTAAAAGAAAATGAAAACATTCACACACACGCACAAATCCTACAGTCAAGTATGGTGCCAGATTCCATTCCAACTACGGTGCATTAATTCTAAGAGCATTATGCCCACAGGAATCATCAACTGTGAAGTGATTGACCGTGTTTCTGGTGTTCAACCAGTAGGAATTACTTATAGGCTACTTATTTTTGGTGGTTTTAAGATAAAGGTAATTGGTACTAGAAGTAGTGAAAGAGGGAAATGAGAAAAGTATTAAGAGCACAAATAAAAATGGGTCTGGGAAGCAAAGCAGAAGAAAAGCTAGAACCAAAAAAAGGAGATGAACTTTCACATTATAAGAACCAAACTTGGGAAAACAGAATAGAAATACTTAAAAGCAAATTATGTTAAAAAAAATCTAATCCATGTTTGGAAAGATGGAATAGAGATGAGTTGAAAATACAAAATAATGGAAGTTTTTGTCACTAGATAATGACATCCAAGTTTATAATCACAAAACAGTAAGAAACGGAGATGAACAGCTGATCATTTGAGGACCTTTTAAGTCAGAAACACAGACTGATTAACATATGAAAAGTACAGAGATTTATTTGTATTTATACGTATTATATGTGCAAGTTTTGCTTCATTCTACCCTACAATAAATATAACACAGTTAGTGGGACACAGGTAACAAAGAAAAAACCCCTCAGAGCAATAAATATTAAACATTCACCACCCTTTGTTTTTAAGCATCAGGCTCAGAAGTTGAGGTATAAATCTGAAGAAGTGTAATACTAAGTGAAATAACTTTGCTAACTTTGAAGGATATGAGTTTCAAGTATTTGTGTACATCTTTCCTCCTCTGCCCTCCAATACGTTTTTGTGGCTACTGTAACACTCCTTGAACACTCATGAAATTACATTAAAAATATAGTTGTGCTCTCATTTTAAAGGACTAAGAAAAGTAGTGCATTGCTGTATCATCTCCTCCGCTACCCTCAACCAAGATGCAATTTCCAGCAACTAGCAGCAGTAGATACTTTCCTCTTCCATGTCACTTGTGAATTGTTTTGCAGACCACAACAGTGTCAAGGGCAGCATAAAGAACAGATAAAAGTTACCCAAAGCAGTCAGAACTGAACACTGAAAATACAAATGCCGCTGGTTTCTGTGCTCGCAGCCCTACCCTGCAGCCTGCAATTCATGCTCCCACAATCCAGCCCAAACCTCCTGTGCAGCTTGTGGATTAAGAGCAATATTTAATAACATCAGTGACCAGTATTACAGAGGCTTTATATTCTAGAATTACAAATCATAAATTTTACTGGGATACTGACAGCATCTCTGTTAGCTCATGTTGAGAATGTGACGCGTATTGCAGCAATGCTGATTATCTGCAAAGGGCAAAGGAAAAGATTTTGTAACTGTGGCACAAACAGACAAATATCAGCAGGAATGCCCTAGTTAACACTGGAAGTACGAGGGTAAGCAACATTTGATAGAACATAAACAAACTCTGGAAGGACTAAATATTTAAAGTGTATTAAGAAATGGCTAACCTATCTATTTTTGACAAATTCATATACTTCTGAGAATTGTAGCTTCCTGGGGGCAAATCTTGCACATATTGGCACTCTTAAGTCAGAGATTTCAAACAAAACGAAACAAATTGTAAGATTACCATTCCAATAAATTCACCAAATATCAACTCTGCTGCAAACCTTGTGATGTGTGCCTGTATCACTTATCTAGAGCTACAGCTGCACTCAGTAAAGTTACAGATCTTGTTCATAACCCATAATGTTGAAGAACACTCATCTTTAATTTATCCTACTGTGTGTATTTCAGTATACATTCTCTGATATGTGTAATTATTCACTATTAGGACTAAAGTGATTCAGTCCTCTTGCAGTATGCAGTACTGAAATGCTTCAGCAGAAATGGAAGAGTCAGATGATGTATTATTTACTTCATGGACCATCACAGTTCATCAAGTGAATTATAAAGTATGAGTCATTTTTAGACTTTCATAAACATGTATTATTCAGACTAAAATGAATGGACCTATCTTACCTTCAGTATGCTATCAGAGAATAATGGCATCTTGTAACCTGTTGTAAGTGGCTAATGCATGTATGGGATTCCATTGCACTAAAACTGATAATAAAATATATCATTTGACTTCTTAATTAAAAATATCAACAGGAAAATGCTCATCAGATACCGTGAACCATCAAGCTCAGAATGATTTACAGAGATGTCAAATTAAAAGAAGCATAAAATACACCTTGCAGGAACGGTCTACTGGTTCAAAATGACCAGAATTTTCTTCACGTTCCTTTGGATGCAACCAGCAATTCTAAATTTCAGTTTGGAGTATTTCAGGAAGTGCTATCAATGAAGACCACGACATAATGCTTATGACTTATCACTCCAAATGATGCTATTTTGATCATACACAGAAAGAAACAAAGACACGGATACTGTAGCCATATGGCCCTCCGCCCCCCCTCTCCCCTCACCCCTTGCTAGTGGAGATGACAAGATGGATTTAAAGGGTGGATTACTTCATTTAAAAGTAAGTACAGGAGAGAAACACTGACATTTACAATCCGTGCAGCAAATAGCTATATTTATATGTTGTGGCACTTTAATTAAAATATTGGAGAAATTTTTCAATCCCACCCTCTTCGCTTCAAAGCTAAAATAAAATTCCCTAAGCAGAAGAGCATCAAAACTCACAGGCACCGCTTCAATTTTATTATCCTTCTGAATGTTCACAGTTTTCATTTAGTTAACCAGATTACTTGAGAAAATTATTAAACTTCCATAGTCTCTGTGCACTCTTGTGCTTTATATTCCAGCTATAAAAGCCCTTCTTATCAATACTTAGGACTGATGTGAATACTACAGTACTGAAGTGATCAAAGTTACATGTCCACAAGTCCAGGGGAGCAGTTTTTAAAGCAATATAACTGAAATGTGGCACATTGAAATTGGAATGGACTGACTCCAACCAGTTAAATTATATCCACAGTGCTGCAGAGATGTCATCGACTCTTTCTAAGCAAACAGACTTTTTTCCAAAAACAGTTTTTTTTCCAACCAAACATAACAATAAAATAGGGATCTGACTGTACTTCTTACCATCATTTCATCTTTTGTGAGTATGGTTGTTATGGCTATCTTTCTTGGACTGCAGATCTCTGAAGTACTGGTGAATGTCCCGAGTTTCAATTTATTGGTGGGAATTATAATAAAAATGCAGTTTCCTTCCACTTCTTTTACATACAAATTATACAAATTATACAAATTATACTTAGAAGCTCTTTTTGCACTGTAGCTTTACTAGGGATGGCTGCCACTGCCTTTCATCCAGGGGTTTCCTCGAATGCTTTTCCTGAAGCTGGAGATGTGACTAGCATTTCAGATGTCATATTTATGAGCCTTTCTTTACGTTACATTTAACGCTATTCGTACAAGCCATTACCTGAACACTTCTTTCTGAGAAGGGCTTCTCTAGGGACTAAGCTTATTAGTGAAGTTGGGAACAGCATTTCCATAACCTCTCCTTTCACTGACTGAAGCCAATTTTTTTTAGAGCTATTGGCTCAGATCATTTGACAGACACAAAAAAATGGTGTGTTTGTTATCAAGAGACAATAAATATTACAGTAAGAATCCAGAGATTTACAAAAAGGATAATGGAGAAGGCATTAGATTTGGTTTTCTGCTTCTCTATTTACAATTAAGTTACAGATTTCATAAATTATTTTTCAGGGCAAAGGCAAAAAAACAGATTTAGATGAAATACACTTGTGAAACAGCATACATGTACGATTCTGCTAATGGCAATGATTTACAACGATTTTAAGTGGATAGCATTTGATATGCATATTTTTAAAAAGATAAATATTACTAAAACAATCATAGTTTGCTGTCCTCTTTGAAATAACAGAGAACAATAAAAAGTATTCACCAAGATGGGACTCTTTATTTCACTTGTCATAAAAGTGAAGGGATGAGGCAAACGCTCACCAACATATTAATAAAATACAGAAAGCCCACAGAATAAAATCTTCTGTTTACACAGTCATCCTAGAATTGTTTTTGGAGGTACTTTGTGTGCGTGACTATAAAGTCAGCATGGGGTGAACATCCACCTGCTTAGTCTGCTTCTTGTAGTTAAGCACTGAGTTCTGCTGGGCTCAAAGCATGCAGTACACCACCTAGCTCAGACAGCTCTGCACAGAATGTAGCAGTGAACACAAATACATGTGCACGGTTGTGGGCATCACAGATGTTGCTACTTCTTTCTTACATGGAAACCAAGTACAGCCAAGAAATGTCCTTATCTTTATATATTTCTTCATTTCATTGCATCATATAATGGCTTGTGTTGGAAGGGACCTTAAAAGTCATCTAGTTCCAACCTTCCTGCTATAGGCAGGCTTTCTGAAAGGTCCACCCCAACTAGCCTTAAACATCTCCAAGGATGGGGCATACGCAGCTTCTCTGGGTAGCCAGTGCCAGTGCCTCGCTGCCTTCTGAGCCAAGAATTTCCTCCCAGCTTCTAAACTACATCTTCTTTCTTTTAGTTTAAATCCATTCCCCCTGTCATTATACTCCCTTACAGTGAGTCCCATTTCCTTAGAAAAGGAAAATTCCAAGTTAACTCATTTGACCTCAGAATGGTAAAGCCCTTCACTTTAGAGTGCTAACAATCCAGAAGCACCTATAGATTTCCTTAATCAAGTAGATAAGGGGGGGAGAGAGAGTCAGGGTTGGTGCAGTTCTCATTGCTGTGCCAGTCCTGCACGAAGGCTGTCCCTCTGCCCCACCACCCTCAGACATTTCTGAAAGAAACGCAAATTACCAGGAATCACCACCAAACCCAAACCATATCACCCATAAATGAGGTTATTTGGGCATAGCATTATATATCAATATAATACATAGTTATAGTTAATTTAGTATTCACCATAGACGAATACTGTATCCCTACTAGGAAAGAATCAGGTGAGCAAATGCAAACACCATCTAGCATTTAGCTGAGCGGAAACGAGACCAGAAAACAATATTTAATGAGGATACTGTACCTAATGTAACTGGATCTGGATTCACTGGACTCTGCTGTCTGGAATGACTGCTGCTGCTGTTACCACCTTTTTTTAAATCTTCTGCATCACTGTACCGCCGTATCCAGTAATTCAGCTCCTCACGGTCTGCTTCTTGACATCGCCGAAGTACAGTGAGAGATCGCCTAGTTTTTTCCACCATGTCCATTATACAGTTTAACAGCTAGCCACAGCAGAGAGTGGGGCAGAGAAATAAAAAAGAATATTTTATTCATAAATTGACACTACGATAAATGTTTAGATGCTCAGTGCTTGGGCTTTAAGAATGAAGGCGTCTCTCTGTTTTTCTAAACACACCTGAAAAAATCTAGTCTTAAGAATAATGATTCCTTCTTTAACTCATTATCTTAAACTCCAAAGATATAGATTCTTGGAAGAAAGGGAAAAGAAGTAAACTGAAAGGACTGTAGTACTATTACCAGTATCACACAGCACCACAAAGGCCTGGTGACATGACCCAGAATTGATGTTTACAAATGTTCTCAAGAGCTAACAATCTCCAATTAACCAGTTCTAAAACTGACGGCCATGTGTCTCATACTCAGTGCCTACACAGCAGAGTTCTTTCCCCATTTGGTAGTCTGTAATAACTAGGATACTCCAATTTGTATACATATTTGAACAGCAGGCCTAATATGAGCTAGCTAACAGGGAACATCAAGCCCCCAGCTTTAATCAACAGTATTTTCAAAACAAATGCCTGTCTCAGAGAGCTCCTTTTAGACAATTACACATAAGCGCATTTAGCCCTTACATGGTCAAGGTGTTTCCACTCTTCTGCCCATTCTCTGTCTGTTAGTCTGTGATCAATCATTTCTTCTTGACGTGTGCCATGCAACCCTGCCAAAAAGGAGCAAATCATGTTTACAGTGTTGGAAGTCCTCTAGGGGAAAAGAAAAAAAGAAAGAAGAGCCCACTGAATATATGTGGCTATCTACATATCATATATCAGCTGGTCTATTATGAGGAATACCACCACAAAAATAAACGGATACTTAAAAACTACATTAAAAGCTGTCGTTGGATTTTTCCTCACATTAGACGCTACTGTTTTACTCAATATACTGTCTTCAATTCTGCAAGTTCTGCAGGCTGTAAGATAACCTCTCAAATAAAGCTATAACTCTTTCTGAAATATACAGTAATATAATGCAATATATCATTTTTCATTTGCACTTCTTGAAGAAGTCAGAAAGGCACTTATTTCGGAACTGTATCAAATATTAGCTGTACTTCAAAAGTTGAAAAAATATTAGTGTAAACTTAAAAGTTATTTCACTAAATGCAGTAATTGCTACCATATCAACAGAGCATCATTAAGGGTTCATCCCTTCACAGATGTTTTAAACAACTTGTGGTTAAAATGCAGCACATAAAACACAGCAGCTGACAACATGGTAGAACCAAGTCAGTATTTATTATCAACACTCAGAGGAACTGACACTTGCTTCTTGTTTAGCCTCCTCTATACAGATGCTGAATATTTGTAAACGTTCCTCTTTTACTGAAGATTTGTTTTAAAGAAGCCAAGAACAGTATGTGCAGATGTGAAGCAAGCTAGGCAAATCCAAGAGCATCAGCCATCCCTGTAACCCAACGCATGCTGCAGCAAGTCCTGCATAGGGTGTGGTGCTTCTGCAGACACATCTTCTGCAGACATCCCCACATTGCAGTGCACTGAAAGCAAGCTATACCAATTTGTTTTACTGTCCCAAATGAGATATCAGAAGAAATTTAAGATGATCCACCTATCCTTGCTTGGCAGACACCTGAGCATCTATGTTAACTATGCAGCTGTAAGAGCAGGGGTTCCTCCTTCTAATGCTCTTGCATTAGAGTGTACTAAATGCACAATTCAGTCCATTTTTAAAAATACAAATCTGCAATAAAACCAGGAAAAGCAGCTAGATGGACAAACAGCAAAAAAGGCTACATCTGACAAAGGAAAAAGAAACCTCAAAAAAGCAATGCAGAAAATCAACATGCCTTACCCATAGGTCTGTTTCTGTCCCTGAGGTCCCTGTGGTTGGGGTGTCTGTATGAGTCCCTGTAGTGGTGGGCAATGGCCATATCATCCAAACGATAATGCTGAGGTGGAGGTGGGGTGGGATGAGGCAGACCATTGGGCTGATAAGATAAGCCATTATTTGGACTGTACCGCTGGCCTGGGCTAATAGTGCAGGGCCGCTTGCTTGGATGCTCTGAGTGCAAAGGCTCTCTGTCAAAGCCGTTTTCTTTGGTTCTGAAAAATAAAAGAAAGGAACACTTTGTGAACAGAGCTGTTCAGGTACACTCATGCCCACCTACACAGGGAGCTTTAGGATCGTTGCTCCAAATAAGGGGTGCAAAATATTTTGTAAGACTGCTTTATTCAAAACATACAATGGACGCTATTCATCTAGTCTAACTGCCCCCACAGATTCGAGAAATACTTGCAGTCAACTCTTCCAGTGGGACAGCTTTACGAGCTGGGCCAGAGAGGATATTGTTCACCCAAATCACCTGATGACCTGATGGTTACTCATGTAACTGCAGAACTGAAGCAGTCAACCGATACATGAATCCAGAGGCCAAGCAAGGATCACAATATATTTTTAATGACTCTTGGCATGATGGAATCTGTTTGCAATAACTTTCAATAGGTATTGATGTTTTTGACATCTCTCGAAGACAATTTTTTAAATTTAGTTGTCAGTGTATGTCTTTTTTGCATGTATCTACTCAAACTCAACATTTAGATTTTTCAATTGTAATGTTACTATGCAAGCAAAATATGGGTTCTTTTGTACGTATAAGCCAAACTGTTTATTTGTGAAAGTATCCTATGCTAATGAAGTCCCTAACAAAGATGGGGAAAGAAATCAGAAACTGTAAATTAACTTCACTGACATGCTCAGATATCTCAGTGTAGGAAAAGCAAATCAGAAAACTGTGGCAAGGAGGAAAACAATCAAAGAAAATCCAAGTTTGATTTTCTATGCAATAGTGGATGGCAATACTACTATTGTACTATTATTGTACAAATGTCTGTAGTTGCTCCTTACTCTACAGGCACTTCTGTGTCTTTTTTTAGGAATGCTCTATATTTAATTAACTGTAATTCACTACTCTATGTAAAAACATCAAAAAAAAAAAAAAAAAAAAAAAACCACCAGCATATTGATAATGCTTCATTGGAGAAAATTCTTATTTTGCTTGTGTTCCAAAAGATCTTGACATCATCTTGCTAACCCTTTATATTAATAAAATTAAACTCCTGATAATTACAAATGGCTTATAAGAAGCACAGCTCTAGGTGCTGTGAGTATCTTTCTCCTTATTGAGGAGCACTAGAGCTTCTTCAAACAAAAAGATTTTGTTAACAGTTATTGAAGCCAGCCCTTATGCTCAGGTACCCTCCACGTGAATTCACTGTTAAGAGATGTGAAGGTTCAGCCACCACATCGCCACTTTCAAAAGGCTCAAAACAATCATAATAATTCCATTTTCTTCTCAGTCAAAATTAGAGATATTCTAACATTCTCGGTTTCTTTTTTCTTAAAAATATCCTACATTTACTTTGTAGGCAGCTGTCATAAATGTAGAACCATTACATGACATGCTCACGTGCCATACAATCTTTTCTAGCAGTCACAGAGGATGACTAATTAGCAAAAAGCCTTTTCCAGTTAACGTATTTAAAATCGTGTTATTTATATCCACGCATTCATTCACCAAAATAAAAACTCATATTGGTCCAAGTTCCTTTGCTTTACTGTAGTAGCATGTAAACTTCAGAAGTTGTAAACAAAATATAGTGAACACTTTGTTCATGACATGTCATGAACAAATTACTAAAATGTGTTGTCTCCTCAGGTGTCAGTTTTTCTCTCTTGCAGTGACTGATGGTTCCCAGTGTTATTACAGAAACAGATTGATCTTTTTAATGAGCTAGTTTAATAGACTCCAAAATCTCACCGTGGCTGCTCATCCGTGTCAGACCATATGCACCAAGAAAACATTCAGTAAAACACGAAGCTCTGCTGTCAGATTGCTCTATAAAACCTCACATAGAGTAGCTTTGGATAGGCAGATAAATAACTAGAACTAGAAAATGCATACGCCAAAAAGACTCTGAAATTATAAGCAGTGAGAATTACTGAAGATATATTTTCCTTAACAAAAAATGAAGAAGTGCATGTGTTTATCTGCAATACACTCATTCTACCTTCTTCACTTAATCCCTTACTGAATTTTTATGTCTGTTGGAGTCAACAGTATGCAGCTATCTGTGCCTGAAAGAATAATGTAAATACGGAAGGATATGTGTGCATATTTTCTCATATACATGTGTGTGCATAATCTATATATATCATTATCTAATATACACACACATCTAAATGTGATACACATGATAAATGGTAATGTATGATGATATATAATGGGATATATATCCCATTTCCCATGGGAAGTGAAAAAATAACACATTTACTCTAGCGACAGACACATCTCCAAACAAAATTGTTCCAACTACACTTAGTTCTCCTTGAAAGATGTTGCTTTTCAGGCACTTTTTGCCACATATTTAACAACAGGGTCATAGAAATCCCTCCTCTAAAAAGACGCCTATTATCTTCCACTGTATATTTATTAGTATATTTGAAATCTACTTAAGACATCTCAACAAAAGATCCATGTTTCCTCCTGCTGCTCTGTAAACAATTAAAATAATGTGTATCTTAGTAAGTATCAAGCTAGACAAGCTAGACAAGTATTTGGTTTCTATACTTGGTCTGGGCATGCTCCAACTCTAAGGACAGTTTTTTTGTGGTTTATTTAAGCATGTATATTATATATATATATATGTATATATATACATACATACATGTATATATATACACACACATATATTCATTATATTTTATTTTATATTATATATAATTTTATACATTATATATATTATACTATCTATAGGATATGTATTTTTAATATATAAATATATACATATAAATATATTTTTATATAGGCATAATATAAATAAAATATAAATAAAATAAATATTATATATTTATATTTTATTAAGATTTATTTATTTATTTATTGCATTGTTTCAATGATACACAACAGTGATCCAGGAACTATTAAGCAATGATGGGGTTGTTTGATTCTGCAGACGAAGAAACAAAAAGCACAACTATCCTCGAGCTCAAGGAGCTATTCTAATGGTTGAAGTAGGCAGTTTTTCCAGGTCTTTTAAGATAATATCAGAGAACCTGGCAGATAGATAGGATAGATAGATAGGTAGATAGATAGATAGATAGATAGAGGTGTGTATCTCTGAAATGCCCTTGCCCCCAGAATTAAGGTGTCTAATTCCAAGTGAGCATTCTCAGAAGCTGCCAGGCAGCTAACAGCTTCATCTGCTTGCACTGAGCAGCACAGAGCACAAGTTCTGCCACCCAATGTGCTCCCACATGAGCAGCTTTCCAAAGCTCACTCTCCACATTTCTCTCCTGGCTTGCCATAAAAACTGCACTATGACATGGAGAGGAATTGGAGACTCTCTGAGCTGGAAGGAGCTGGAGAGTAACTTCAGCTGTAAAGGCAATAGCATCATGAACAGAGGCTTTCAAAGCAACTATGTACATTAGCATAGAAATAAAATCCATAAAACAGACTGAAACATCCCCAGGTCTAGCTCACACTTTTAATTATAAGACTTTAAAATCCAATATTCTCCTGATCTGTCGATCCCCCTGTGAGCAACTCCTCATGTCCTTTCTACTCTAAGACTCATAGGGGTCCTTTCACAACTTTCACAAAGTTCTCAGACTGGTCTTCACCTTCACCATCCATCTCTCCCACACAACAGGTGAGATGGTACTTACCAAAAACCACTGCAATTCATCATATCAAACTGAACATTAGTGGAGAAAGAAAGGAATACTGTATTGCTCATTTTGTCTTTATGGTCATACGGGAGAAGCAACTCAAACTGCTATTAACAGCAAAAGTAAGCTAAGGCTATCAGAGAGGTGTGTCCCACCCCACCTTCATACTCTGCCAAGCCTCATGGGCTCATAAGGTAATTCAGTATATTTACAGGAGAAATACCATGTCTACTACTGACACTGGACAACATCATGCTGATATTTAAATCAGTCACAAGATCTACAAGATTTTAAGAGGTCTTTTTTCCCTACAATGTATACATGTTTTGGTACGCTACTCTGCAAAGACCAAGAGCGTGCAGCAGAACTGCCCCAGGGAGCTAAACCTCAGCTTTGGAAATGTTATCTCTTTATGTGGCTCAAGATCTTGCATGGAAAATGTCTGAAAATTAATCCTCTTTCTAAGATCCACTTAGCAACTTTGTGTTAGCAACAATGGCTGTTTTAATTCATCTTACCTGACAGGAAAAAATAGAGAGAACAGAAAAGGTACACTACAGATTTCTTTATTTTCATGCTAGCACATCAGGATTTCCCAGAGACATCAGCCAAAGTACGCCAGTTTCAAATATTTTCCCTTTTTTTACTACTTAATGGCTAAGTTAAATCTTACTATCACTTCTGCTTTTTATTTTACTATGCAATATTTTCAGGATCTAGCCTCATGAATATCACATACCTGTGAGCTCCAATATTTGATGTTAAATTTTGTCTCTACCAGTATTGGAAGCCTTCATTCTTTATCTATACACTTCATAGAACCATACAATATTTGGAGTTGGCCAGGACCCATTCGGATCATAGAATCATAGAACAGCCTAGATTGAGAAGGACCACAAAGATCATCCAGTTTCAACCCCCCTACTATGTGCAGGGTCACCACCAGATCAGGCTGCCCAGAGCCACATCCAGCCTGGCCTTGAATGTCTCCAGGGATGGGGCATCCACAACCTCCTTGGGCAGCCTGGCTCCACACAAGACCACCCAGAATTCAAACCCTTTGTCTGAGAGTACTGTCCAAGCACTCCTTTGAGCTCTGTCAGCTCAGGGCTCTGCCCAACTGCTCTGGGCAGTCTGTTCCATGCCCACCACCCTCTGGTGCAGAACGTTTTGCTGATATCCAATCTGATATCCGAATTTGTGCCATCACAGCCAGTTTCCATTAAAAAGCATATAAGAACTGCAATCTATGTAGAATCTATGTAGAATTGCAGTCCTTCCTGACTTTGTAAACCTTCACCTTAATTCTTTTATAAGGTAACTAGGATGCCTGCAACGCCTTGTGTGTGCAGCTAGCTAGACTGGGCAGAACAGCTTTATAAAAGCTTTCTACATTATAAAGGCCTGTGGCAAACAAAACTAAGAATAAATTCAATATTTGGTCCTCCCAAAGGTAACATTTGTATGTTAAATGAATTTCAAACACTAGCACAAGAAGTTGGTCAACAAGAAATGACCACAATGGTCTTTTTCTTGTACTAAACAAAGAACTAAACAAAGAACTTTACTCAAATAAGAAAAAGAGAAAATACAGTACCCAAAAGCTACTGTACACACAGGCGCTTGCTCCGTTTCTGCACAGACTCTCAGCTTAACAAGACAACAGATTTCAGCGAACATTTCTCGTGTTCAGAACAAATCTTAAGCACATCCTTATGCTGTGCATAAAACATGGCACAGCAGAAAGACTCAAATCCCTGACTGCACTCTGGAGCATTCCAATATCAGTATTTAGCCATCTTCACCGTATTTGCTACTTGTCCAAGAAATTACTTAATACAAATAACTTATGTATGGAGTTGGAGTGATTTACTCCACGCTTCACAGAAAAACTGAAGCAAATGGTAAGGCACTAACTGGTCAGCATTACTTCTGTGTAGGGATGGCCATGTTGTGTCCTCAGATGATCTTACTGCATGAGTCAGTGTGTGCATATATATAAATGTACAAGTACATAAAGGCAATCTGCATGCTACACAACTGCCCTAAAGGAAAGACCTGCACCCAGGGCAGAGAATCCCAGAGCCCCAGGATGGCTGAGACTGGCAGGATCCTCTGGATCCCTCAAAATCACCCCTGCTCCAGCAGTGACTCCCAGAGCAGGGGGCCCAGTTCCATGGCCAGGCACCTTCTGAATGTCTCCAAGGAGGAGACCCCACAGCCTCTGGGCAACCTGTGCCAGTGCTCCAGCACCACACAGCACAGCAGTACTGCCTGGTGCTCAGAGAGAGCCCCTGTGCTCCAGTTTATGCCCACTGCCTCTTGTCCTGGCACTGAACTTCCCATCCCAGCTCCCCAGCCCACCCCATGCAAGGCCAAGCATGCTGCACCCAAGAGACACAGCCATTCTCACCTGTCTGGAGTTCGCCTCTTCCCGTTTTCGTTCACATCGAGAAGCAGCTCTGAGGAGTCAACAGGTGAGGTGGTGCTGGCATCCAGAAGCAGCTGTTCGTGCTGGGCGAGGTACTGGGCTGGGTTCTGCTTGGCTAGCCTTGCACAGTGCAGCAGCTCCCGCTGCAGCAGGGGCAGATTGGCCTGCAAGGACATAGCACACATCAAAGCCAGGTAGTTCACATGCAGTTTCATCAAGTAAAAAAAAAAAAAAAAAAAAAAATCTATCAATGGGAAACACGCTCTGGGATGAATCTGTTGCATGAATCCTGAATTAGATTTGAAATGGTTGGCTGCCTGAAATCAGACAGCTTCACTACAGGTCAGGTTGCGGCTGTACCAAGTATGTATGAAAGAAAGGGAACTCTCACAAAAACAAAACAAACCTGCAAATGCCATGAGAAAACCAGGTCTGAATTCTACACATTTAACAAGAAAAAACACCGCCCTGGTTGATTTCATCTTTTTCCTTACTATCCAGAACCTAAGCTCCTATAGAGCGGCTCTGCTTGTTTCTGTTTTCCCACTGACAAACTCTTTTTGCTGTCTCCATTCAGACTGCAGTTAGCACTTAGAAATCTTTAGAAACCATAGGATCCATGTCTCTGTAAGCTACCTTCATCACCATCCTTCAAGAATAGAACTGTCCTCAGCCTTCCCCAACACACTCACAGTCATAAGATAAAGACTACAATAAAATCTCACGTTCCAGACCTCCAGCTAATCACCTGGAGGGCTACATCCCTGCTTCATGTCACACGCAGCCTGAAATAATTTTTAATTCTTCTCTCAGGACCCCTCTGGGAGTTGCTGGACAGTTGGACAGTACCAGTACTCAAAAGAGTATTGAAAAAGCTGATTGATCCCCAGGTGGCAGATTTTCCATATTGAGCAATGCTTCTCATCCAATTTGGGACTGGAGTAGAACCATATGTCCATACGACATTTATACATCTTGGGAAACTTCTTCCTCTCCTTCCAGCACATGCATAAATACTAAGACAACTCAGCCATTTCTTACCTACACATTTGTGCTGCAAGATAATGTGCACAACCTTCCTTCTTCCATGCCCAGTGCACAGTAAATGTTGCCTGGGGCTTTTCAAGTATTAGACTACTTTCATGGTTTCATGGTTTTTAGTAACTAGATGGGAGACAAAGAACTCTCATGGTTCCCTTGCTTTTAAAGAAATTCCTTCTTGAAAAAAATTTTTTTTTCTTTGAATAGGAGAATAGTTGTTAAGGCAAAAGATTCTGAATCTAATGTGCAGCAAAGCAAGCAAAAAAGAACAAAAGGAAGATGTCCTCAAAAAGTTTTGAGCACATGGGCTTGGGAGATTACTATGCTAGTGCTGTAATGATGGCAGATGCTCCAGGCACCTGTTGCTGTACCATAAGAGAAAATTTCCTGTGCAACGAAAGTGCCAGAACAGGGTTAATAACTATGAAGCTTTTTAACAGGATAAAAAAGTAATACCAGCAACTGCTATCACTTACTCATCTTAGGATATGAAGGAAAACAGTTCTGGAACATGAGGTCTTGTCAGACCTCCACAGAACACAAATGTTTTGTGAAACCATGTTAATATCAATCTCTTACTTGGTTTTGTCTAGGGTTGCCACATAACAAGGAGAGATAATAAGCAAAAGGAACCTATACTTTTAGGGTTTGGTGGGTATGGTGATGATGGGTTGGCAGCTGGGACTAGATGACCTTAGAGGTCTTTTCCAACCTTAATGATTCAATGATTCTATACTCATACATGGGTACTTCCAGCTCCTGGAGTCAACCAAATTTTAAGCTGGCTAGCAAAACCCTTGATTTATTTTAATCCTTTTCCTCCTAAAAAAAAGTTTATTCTTCCTATTTAACCATAAATATGCAGATTTGTAATTACATTTATCTTTTTTTCTAAATGCACTGTACATTTTTTACATGCAAAGAACTTATATTTTTTGTAAGTTACTATAGGAAACTACTAATTATGTGCCTTGTAGTTTAGAATATATCTGGGTTTGTAATAGTACCAAGTAGCATTTGAATGAAAAATTAAAATATAATTGAAGAAAAGCAGCGTTTGAAAGCATTTAGTTCAACCCAACTGCTTACAGTCTGCTCAAAACATAAATATAAAAAAAGCTTATCAAACCATACAATAAAACATAATTGGTTTATCAGGGAAAAAATAATAAAATAATAAAATAACAACAACAACAACAATAATAATAATAATAATAATAATAGTACCACCAAAACACAGAAAACTCTCTCTGTCTAGATGAAGTATATAACCTGCTACTGGTCACCATTGCTGTGATGAACAAGTTTTTAGGAAGCTGGCAGCACTGACATTTTCCATACTGTGAGCAAGAAGAGATCAAGCTCCTAAGGAAACACAAGTGTACTTATAGATTCTGAAATTCAAATGGCCTTGGACAGAGAGGTTTATGCAGATACTCAAACTGACAGCACAGGTAGCTCTGGCAAAGTGCAGTTGCACATTTCTAAAAATGTCACTGCTGGTGCCTGCAGACAGACTTGGACACCTCTATATGTGACAGATACAAACCAATTGCAGACCAGAAGCCAGATAGCTATGTTAGAATAGCATTGCCTGGAAAAAAAAAACAAAACATGATGTTACTAGCTTACTGTCCCCTACAATTCTGTACTTCATTCACTGGAAAATGTTCCTACTCTGCTTTGGATTGAGTTATGTGATGAGTCAAGGCTGCTTGGTCTGCTGCTTCTACTCTGGACCCATCTAGGGACACGTTTTAGGCACGTAGTGTTGGGTCGGCAGTTGGACTTGATGATCTTAGAGGTCTTTTGTAACCTCAATTATTCTATGATTGTATCCTTCAAGGTTTAGGTAGTATCTTAGCCTCCTACATTAGTTTTAGAGGATTTTTTTTTTTTTGCCCAGCTGTCAGATCTGTTTTCCATGTTTAAATGAGCTGTTCTAACCTGAAAACAAGCCATTATTTGTGCACCTGCAAAAGAAGCTATCGGCTCTAAAAGGCTGCTGTATCATTTTAGTGCTCATTCCAGGTAATTAGCTAATAATCTTCTATTGTTGGTGTTCCTACTTTCTTCAGAATTTTAGCAACAGAAATATTTCAGTATTATAATTTAAATAAAAATGGTTTCATTAGACTACAGCACACTGAGGCTCTGATACAAGTTTTTATAAGTGCCATTTTAAATAAATGATTTACAGCCATAGTTTAGAAAGAAAAGATTTAAATTGGGAAGAATGTTTGTTCAGAGAACAAAATCATCAAATCACATATTGATATTGATACTTTGAACAAATATGTACAACACTTCTACTGAAAAGAAGTGTTGGCAGTACTGAAAATGCACCACTTAAATTTAATAGACTAAATCCTGCCTGATGTAAATATAGAAAATGTGTCCAAAATGCTCCCAACCAGCGAAGGTTTCTGCAGGTATTCAATCATCATATCTCCCTCTGAACCAAAGCTGATGGAGAGATAAGCAAATCAATGACTATTTATTATCTGTAATAGATCAGCACTCCCTTGTGCGAGTACTGTACAAACAGATGGTGAAGGGTAGCTCCTTTCCTTGAATTACTATTACAGAAGCATTAATATAGGCTTCTTTGCAATTTAACGTTTGGTAGACCTACCAATCTGTTGTGCATCTGCACCAGACAAGGACACAGCGTGCAGAAGATTTCAGTGAGGTCTGGGCAACTTGCATGTGGGCCAGGGAACAGATCAATGGTAAAGCTGGGGACAGAATATAGGTCAGGCCTCAGGACC